TCCTTTGTCTTATTACGAGCATAGGACCGAGCCGCCCTAACTTAAGGGTACGCTCAGCCTGCCCAGGTTACCTTCGTTATATTCTTCATATCTTTCCTCCTCTTCTTGTTCTACCTGACTTACTGACTGGCTTTCCCAACTTAGGGTGCCCGGTCTGCCAGATGATATAGGTTCGTATAGTATGTATCAAAATTGTATACTTCGGTTGGCCTTTGTGTTCCTGGCTTATGACTGAGCCGCCCTAACTTAAGGGTACGCTCAGCCTCATGCCTGTGTCCCCCTCAGAAAAAAACATACGCAGAACCGAGTCCACGCAACTTAGAGTGTTCTCAGTCCTGTTTTCAGCAACCCATAGAAAAAAACACCAGTATTCTGAGACATCCCAACTTAGGGCGCCCGTCCTCCTGTTCAGAAACCCCCAAAAAAAACAGCGGCTGGTCCGTCCAACTTAGGATAGGCCCAGCCCTCAAAACCATACAAGCAGCCCAGCAAACATGAATGAAACACAACACTGAGCCCACACCAACTTAGGGAGCTCAGCCTTGGGTTGACCCTGGTCAAAGCATGCTAACCTCGTTCTCCCACCATCCCCCAGTTCATTCTGTTTGACATTACTCAAGAATTATCTGATCTCTCATATGTACTTGTTCATTTAACCTTCACAATGCATGTCCTGACATACATAGCAAAACAAAAAGTAATAGCCTTACATGTACATATTCAAATACCCCAAAATAAGCAAAGTAGGGAGAGGGGATTACACACGTTAACGAGATTATACCTGAAGTTCTCGCCTCCAGAACCCCGCTTGGGCCCCGGCAGAGCTCCCGCAATCGGTGGGGCAACCTCCCACAGAGGCCTTGGCGCGGTCCTACGGGTTGCAATCCCGCCTGCCGCCTTCCTCTCGTAACCAAAGACCAGACTTAGACTGAGAAGGATAGCGAAAGAAAAGTCAGACTCTCGAGATCCAAGGGAGTTGCGCTCAATCTCACTGTGAGAGGGCCTTGTAGTCTTGATTCGCCTGAGGGCCCCGCAATGATGGCCAAATATAACGCAGTCGAGACGCTCCAATAGCGGCCAAACTCAAAGTAACAGCCTTCAAACGGCCTCCAACACCACAGCCATAAGCCCCCTGATGAGGTATGATCTCACTCCCATAGTCACCACAGTCCCCTCTCTCACCGGGCCTCCTTTCTTAAACCTATGTCGTTGCTGTTCCTATAAGGAACAACGTTCCGCTTAGCAAAAGTACCCCAAACAGCGCCTAGTACAGCGATAGCACTCCACCTGAGTCCAACTCAGCAACAGCGCGGCCCGCTGCAGTCGCCGTCGAGTACTCAGCAACCCCAACGACAAGCAACAGAAGTAGTGTGCGCCCAGCCCACTGTAGGCCTGCAGAATACACCAGCAGGGACTAGGAGGCCCTCAGCAGCCAGCCCCGCAGGGGTCCTCGGCGGGAAGCAGCGCACAGCCTGTGGGTAGTGGCAGCTTGTTCCCGCAGCAGCAGTAACCCGTCTGCAAGGGCCTGGTCACTCTCTCAACCCGTCGAGTTCAACAACTGGCCATCGTACTAGCGCTCAAAGCCATAACGAAGCATCAGTCACCATTCCGCCCAGCAAGTGCATCAGCGGTATTTGCTCAACAACTTAGCATGGTACAGCCAAAACGTAGTACAAACGATCAACCCCCCCCCACTTTTTACGGCAGCTAGCCGTTTCCTCAGTTTAGAATTTCACTACCTCAGACCAATCTATCGTTGTGCAGCCTAGAAAGGCTTGATTCGAATAGAGCACGCCCTATGCTTTATTCGAAATGTAGTAAAAAGCAGCCGACCTGTACACACTACACCTGTGTACAGTAATTAAGTATCGCTGCCGTGCCCGGCCTGCACAGTCCAAAGCCGGGTCAAGGCCTTAGGAGGCAATGGAAGTACCACAGTTGCTCAGAGTAGCACAAAAATGAGCACCACGAAACYYRTAAGGCCCAACAGCAAGACTCAGCGGGACTGCACAGTGGTTGTAGCGAGCACAACAACCTATGGTACTTGGCCTAAGTAGAGAGCCTAGTACAACCACTGAGAAACACGACCCACACCAGCTGAGACATGGTATCCTGCTGTTAAGAACTCAGTCGCCCTCAGTATCAGTTCAACAGAAGGAGGAAATCTTCAGCAAACTGGTACTTCGAGCATTTAGCAGCAGCGGCACCTTCCAAAAAAAGAAGAACA